GTATAATATATATATACCGTATATATCAGCTAGAGCTTTCGTTTTGTCTTCCTTTGTTTCTCTTGTGTAATTTTTTGCCTTAAAATTGAATAGAATAGAATAAAAACGCACTTCCCCATCGAAAATCCTGCCTACGGGACTGAGAACTCATTTATTATACTCGGTGTATAACAATCGTTTCGGTAACTCAAGCCAAGGAGATCCGAGTTCGTTCAACTAACTCTGATCCTGAACTAACTAGTCGCACGTACGCACTGTACAGCACACATTCCATCTCTCTCACCTCTTCTCGTGGAAGGACCACAAGGAGAGAGAGAAGGCCTAGCCCTCCCTTGAAAACAGCAGTAGCACTGGCTGCCAAGAGTGGAGGGGAGGATTTCTACATTCCTTGCTTTAAGCCTGGTTTCCATAAAAATCGCTACACGCTTTCGCCGACGCTGATTAGTCAGTGGAATCAGGGAGCGTCCCCGATTGCGTCAGCTACGCAGTGCAAGGACTGTAGAAAAAGCTGTAGTGACTGTGTAGCGATCTTAAAGCTTGGTTTCCATACAATCGCTTTCGGTGATGCTAATTGGTCAATCGGTCGAATCGGGTATCCAATTCTTTCGTCGTTTTCAGTCCAATCGTTCATTTGTCGAGCTTGATTCAACTGACCAAACAGCGTCGCCAAATGAGTCGGCGATAGAATGTAGCTATTTTTTTTTTTTTTTTTGGAAACCAGGCTTCAGCATCACCGAAAGTTGTCGGCGATAACGTGTAGCGATTGTATGGAAATCAAGCTTTATATAGGAACACCATCAGCCAATCAGAAAGTACCTATTGCCCAATAGAGCTGTTACAACCATAGAGTAAATGCTATGTTCTATATGTTACTACCGAAGGGGTAATTTCGTTACAATATTTAATGCTATCTGTTTCAGATATAAGAGGTTAAATCTAACAGAACATCAGACGCAGTTCATTGAGTATTTGCTGCAGTACAAACAATCATATTTTTGGTTTCCTGCATTCCATGAAGGCCTTAGTACAAAATTGAGTTTTACTGCTGCGAAGGTCATGTCTAGAGACGCCCGAGTAGCCAACCGATCACTGTTCGGGCGTTCGGATCACAATGTGGCAACCGCACGATTTTGGAATATAACGAGGATTATAAGTTCAGGTTTTAATGTTTTCTTCATTGATTACCAATTTTGTAGAGATGTAAGCCTAGACTATCAATTGAAATTACAACGATTTTTTGCGGCCAGTAAAAGTAATGCATTCAGCCTTTACCATTTGAACGATTTTATTTATATTTTTTGCAGGATTTTACATGGCGAACACGGCGGTAGCAATGTGTGATGAGGTCAATCTATATGGATTCTGGCCCTTTTACACAGACCATCGGAATCGCGACCTTCAGTATCACTATTACGAGCCAAAGAAATTCAACAGGAAAACGCATCATTTCAGTAAAGAGTTTCGGATACTTGTAGATCTGCATATGAAAGGGGTGCTGAAACTCAACATTGATACATGTAGGTCTACATAGGTGTAACCCGAGTTCCAATATGAACCGATAGATTCGAGGAAAACGCCTTGTTAAAAATATAAGTAAAATTTATTGAATAAAATGAAATCAATAGGAATAAAGTTATGAAAATGTAGACTTTAAATATAAACTGTGTTAAGTTATTGTAGATAGTCCATAAACTGTTCTTTACACGAACCAATTTCTTGCTTCTCCCTCTTGCGGTAATAATAGGCCTATTCAAAACAATGTTCAAAAGTTCAAAAACTATTTCCGAAACTTGAAGTTTACAGTGTTCAAAGTTCATGTGATTTTTAATAAAAGCACTTCTGTTCCAGTGGGTGAATCCAAAATGATAGAATTGTAAGTTTTGATATATAAAAAGAGAAATGTATGTAATACACTAAAATATTTAAACTAATAATAAAACACGAATGAATACAATGCTTGTGCATGCATCGTTAGATGTACAATACAATAGTCTATAGGAAGAGTTCAGAATAATTCATGAAATTTTACCAAACTTAACTACGGCGCTAAACTTGTATAGCACACATCGCATAAGGTCTCTATGCGTTTTTAATAAAGTTAAATAAAAGCGAGGAAGAAAAGACATAGTAGAAAGAAAAAAACCCATCAAAAAGCAAGAAGAAAAAGAGTAAGGAGAATTTGTTTGAATGTTTGTGTTTTGAAATGTTTAATTAAGTAACGGTTGGGAACTTATGGTGTTTGGGTCTGGTGTTTGTACTAGAGAAGGCAGGAGTAATTAACACATTGATTTTTTACTTTTAGATTTGTCAGGTTTTGATTTCGTTAGCTTTTTTTTGTGTTCGTATTTTTGATCGCCGTTACGTAAGTATGGCACTGTTGTAAAAGTGTCGTTTCCAA